GATTTTTGAGGAGCAGCAGACGTCGGCTGAAGAGCAGCTCCCTGCCTGGCTGAAGCACGGCCAGAAACTGAGCTCTGCAAAATGAAAATTGGGGAAAAGGCACCAGGAAAGCAATGGGAGGAAGCCTGTAGTGAGCGAGAAGCCACAGCAGCGGGCAGGGTGCATGGCAAGGACAGCCCAGGTTTGCCAGCCCCTGGGAGAGGGACGGACCGCTCTGCCCAGCACCTTTTGCTGCCTGCGTAAGGAAGGAGAAAGCATCAGGCCCCCAAAACTCACCCCAGAAGCCCCTCTCTGCTATTGGCCCTATGCTTTGAGTCTGCAGAGAAAGGTACCTATCACTCATTTCTTTGATTCTTCAGCGTGGGACCTGCCCTAACCTCCCTGGAAGCGACGTGGCAAGGAGCTTGGGCAGGTGGCGCCTGCTGAAGCGCCCAGAGGGAGCCGGCAGGAAACCCAAACTGGGCGATGGGAAGGTCAAAGTTCTGGGACGGTTGGTTCAGTGGTTTTGTCCGCTCGACACAGGGACAGCTCACACCAGGCTAACAGCCCGGAGGCAGCACCGCACGTTAGGAGCTGCTGGAAGGGCGAAGCACCAGGGACAACGCAGGGTAACGACCAGGTAACCACCCCCGTGCCTCAGCAGGGAAGCACCGAGACCCACGGACAGGGTCCCGCCAGAGCGAACACCACAGCCCTGACCCAGGGAACACGCTGGCAGTGAGAGCTCGTCACCTCCCTGGGGAGCTCAGAGATGGTCAGCGGGTGGTTTGGCATCGGTCCGATGCTGGAGGTGCAAACCCTACCCTCTACCGCGGGCTCCCTGAAGCATCCCTTGTTCCTCAGAGCTTGGGGGTGCCTTGCCCCCGCAGGACACAGGGCTCTCCTGCGCTGCTGCCCAGCCCTTCTCCCAACCTGAACAACTGAAGTCAAATTCTTTATCCCCGACCCGCACAGAAGAGCTGTCCCACCCGTGCAGGGCTCGGTGCTGTGGTTGAACCATGCGGCTTCACCGCAGCAGCTTCCCCGTCCCGCTCGCAGGAGCAACCGGACAACATTTGCATCGCAGGAGCATCGGGTCTCCCTTTAGAAGTGGCGTTTCCATCTCCTCATTCCCCACACTGCCGAGACACAACGTGACTTCCTTAAACCCACGCTGGGGCACCGTTACCATAGCTGCTGCGTAGCAGAGGGTGCGCGACTTCACTGTGTTACTACGTCTGCTGTTTCCCTGGGAAACACCTCTATTGGCCGATCATTTCAACCAAAGGCGTTGGAAAATATTAAAAACTGACAATGCAAAGGTACTAGATAAGAATCTTTAAAATTTATTGGACTAATTGTGTTACATTCAGTATTTGATGTGTTTCTCCTGGACAAAGAATTGGCATAAATACAAACAAGCCTTTGTGTGCCTTCCCTAAACAAGTAAGAGATAAAGTACTAGAGACAAGGGAACATAGTTCACATCTTCATATTTACATTTTGCCTTTACTTTACAACTTAGCGCCAGGAATATTTACAGAAAAATACAATAAGAACAAAAAGATCATGTCTTGGCAACATACAGAAATTCATACAAATTGTATATGATTTGAAGCACATGGTGTCTGGCATTCTCTAATTGCTCCCGCTAAAATCCATGTGGAAGAGGTCTGTGTTGGCCTCCACAGAACACCACTCAATTACGCCATCATTAAATCACACCAAATTTGTCCATTAGATTGAAATTTAGTTCTTTCATCTTTCTGGGCAGGCCAAGCCTCGCCGGGCAGAGGTGCCGTCACCTGTGGAGCACCCAGCATGTGCAGGCAGCGAGGAGCTGCTCTGCCCTACGGCCCGCGCACACGCTGCTGCCCACACGGACACCTTTGCTTCCACAGGCACCATCCCCTTCCCGGCTCATTTGCTGTAAGGCTGCGAAGCCTTTTTTAAAAGGACCTTTCAGTAAAATGCTTTTCTTTAAAAGAGTCTTTATGAATGTACTAAGTTTTCTGTAACTTCAACACCGTGTTTAACAAGGTGACCATGGTCCCCCCTCTTGCTGCACCATTGAAAGGCTGAATGATGAACCCGAACAGAAGGAGAACATCTCAGTTTAGTTACTCTGCAACACTTGCAACTTGGCCTTTGCAGCGCTGTGTCACCTGCGGAGCCCCGACCAACACACCAAGCCCATGGTCAGCACCTGTCACCGGTGATGGCCAGGAACATGAACCCAAGCCGCGCAAGGCGTCCAGCTGAAAACTCAGTACAGCAGTCTGGGATGAATAAAAGGTCTGGGCTCTCGACTAATGTGTTCTTGCAATCACAGCTGAGATAAACCTCATTTGCTCTAACCCTTTCGGGGAAAAAGCACACGGCTGCACCCTGGACTGGCTGAAGCCACTGGAGTTTGGGCACCGACTGCGACAGGACAGGGGTTTCATTCCCCAATTGGCGGTTTCCATTTTGTTACAGAGTCGGAGACCTCTCCACGCACAGGGGCGGGAGGGACGCGCCTTGCAGACACCTTCCCCCAGCACAGGCCTGCCGAGGGCACGCGCTGCTGCGGCCGGCGCCCGAACCCAGCGGGATGGTCACAGGTTTCTGTAATCGCAAGACTGAACTGCGACTTTCTTGAGGGTTCACCTTCCCAGACAGCAAAGCCCAAACCTGACGGCCAGGTGACAGCACTGGTGTGCCGCGTTAACCCGCGGGTGTTACAACTCCAGCCGAGCGCGGCATCAATGCCTACACCCGATGCTGGGCTCAGCAGCGCAACGCCAGCCCGACGCATCTCCTTTCACGACTTCTGAGAAGCTGCCTTGCTCTCACCGTTGTTACTGCTCACGTGGGTGCCGTACCCATCGTTGAGATGAACATGGAAAAGACCCAAGACTATGGTTCAGCTTTCTTTTCAAAAAGCAAATTTTCAGGTAGTCCCCTTGGCTGCCTTGGACTTTGTGGAAAATAGCCCGGGTTTCCCCAAATGCCCGTATCTTTACATTCCTGTCTGCACCCCAATGTCTGTATCTTTTGCAGCTCATTACCGTACAAACCAGTGACTCTGCACGTCACGTACACTTAGCTATGGTAGGTGGGTGCTGGTACGTCACTGAAGATGTGCAGACGTGTGATTGCTTGGTATGTTTATTTGTTACACATGCATTGGTCATGCCCTTTAAATCAGTGGACTAAAGTGTGTTTGGCCATTAATTAGATCCAATAGGTACATACAAGATGTGGGTAAATTTAGTGTCATTGCGTTAAATGGATACTGGCAAGAGTCTGGCAGAGCAATGAAGCTGTCCAAGCTCCCCTTCACAACTTTGCCAATGCACCCCAGCGCTGCCTTGGAGCTCCTCCTGCCATTTGCAACCTGGGCATCATGCAAGCACGGACCAGCCATCAACCCTTACTATCATGATCCACAGCAGTTATCTTTATGTGGTTTCATTTTTCCACTTGTGATTCATCTGGATCAAAATCCAGAGCTCCTGAGCTGAGAAGCTGGTGTGCTTGTCCCCTGCAACAAGCACATGTCACCCAAATCCCCTTGGGTTGACATCCTGAAAGTCCTTTCACATGTTATTTTTAGGGGCCTGTGTTTCCACTAAATCTTTGTGAAAAACCACATGAGAAGACAGGATCAGGGTACGTCCTTCGCAGGTAAGTTGTAATGAAACAATTAAAGACTGTTTCAGGTCAGAACTGTTGCAAAAGGTAACTCTGAAATATCAAAATTAAATGACTGACAGGTATTACTGCAATGCATATTAAAAAGCTAATAAAAACACCTCAGGAATAATGTGAGGAGCTCCCCAAATTCCTGCTCACACTCATACCCGTACCTTACCCGCTCACCGGAAGGAGAACGACACGTGCTGCCACCAGCCATCGCAGGCTGCACCCACCTGGGAGCCCGGCGGTGGTTCCCTGCTGCAACACACGCTGAGATTGCGCCGGGAGGCGTAGAGCGCTCCCAAGGCTGCCAGCGCCCACTGCAGCCTTGAGATTCCCAGTATTAAACCTGCAGCTGGAAACCTCTTTTCCCAGCACATCCTTCAAGTCCTGAACATGTGAAATCCAGTTTGAAAATTAAAACTCCTGACCTAGGTGAAAGGGAAGCACTGCTGCTGAGCACGAGAAAGCACAGTGGATTCAAACCAATTTTACATCATAACTCCAAAGGGGCTTTCATGGAACGGCAAGTTAATGGGGAAAACGAAGAATTCTTGAATTTTCTTTTTGAGTTGTTTAAGTCTGTTTAACAGAAGCTTCTGAAAAGTGTTGTAGAAGCTGCGAAAACTGCTTATGCTATAAATGTCAGGCAGGAGGCAGCCCCAGAATCTCAGATTTCAATCCCATGGAAGGAAATTAAGTGATGTTTATGCTTTTTATGGAAACGGTGAGTAGATGACACAGACACTTCAAAATAAATTAAGTAGTTGCATTAAAAAAAATTTTTAAAAAATTCAAGCTACTAAAATTAAATGTGACATTTTGCAACAGACCTGAAAGTCCTAAACTGTTTCTTATATTACCAAGAGCTCTCACCTAGTAACCACTTATGTTGGGAAGTCAGGTCATTTCGGGTGTGGTTCATTGCCAGCATGACAAATCTCGCACGCAGATGGACTCAGGCCCAGCCACGGAGGGAACTGTAACATACAGCATCTTGGCTATGGTTTTCACGACCTGATGCTTCCAAGCAATTTTCCTCCTCTTGCTTTTGATACACAAATCGGTTACAAGCAGTGAAGGATCTCCTGTGGCGCTCTGAAGGGGGGCTGAAATGTCTTTTAAGTTCTTGGAGGGAAAGGTGATGCTCTGAAACGGACTCTCCTCAAAGGAGAGGTCCTGCTCCCTTCTCCTTCCACACGTGGCTGTAGTGAGAAGCCTGAAGACAGGTTTGTTTGTATTTTGTTTTCCATCCTCATATGCAGAGATGGCTTTGTTTTGATTGTGTTCCTCTCACAGAATGAGACACTTACAGTTCCTAATTAGTCAGGAATAGATGATTGGGTGAAGAGATTATGTTGCTAGCATCCAGGAAGACTGGAATTATGTAATCTTTTGAGGGTAGGCAAATTAAGTCAATATCCCAACTGCAGTGTTTTGGATTCATTTCTCATTCCTCCCACATGGTATCTGCTGACTTGTGCTAGAATACAATTTCCTGAATTCCGGAGGGCTGAGGAAATTTGTTGTTGTTATTTAACTGTTTTCATTACTGTAGCCACCAAGCTCTGATCTAATTGTCCCGGGAGGATAACGACCTAGGGGTTGCAGTTCTTGAGCCCAACCTCCTGGAAAAGCGAGGTATAAAATTCTGGCTCCAGCTGCCTGTTCCGATATTTATTGACAATGTCTGCTATTTTCTGTTTTCGGCGGACATGTGGGGGGTTGTATGAATCACTTTCCAGCCTCTTTCTCCGACAAATATTTATTACCGTCTGCCTCACTAAAAAACCTGAAAAAGAAACATTTGAATCAAGTTTAAACAAATTCAAGTCTGAATCCCTTTGCTGGCTTCGCAGCTAAAGACAATGTTGGGTTCTGTCCCATCTACAAACACAAGGGAGATGCTCAGTCCCACCAAGTCAAGAACTTTTCTCAACGAGCAGTTGGTACAGATAACCACAGTCGCCCAGGCCTGTAAGGACACTTTACTGTGAAAAATGGCTAAGAAAGGGCCTAAGTCAGTGGTGCCCTAAACTGCCTGGAGGAGGAGAATGATTTCCCTGCTTTGCCAGAGCCAAGCAACTGCCTGCAACAGCACACTCAGGACCAAGAGGGGAAAGAATCCAGGGTAGCTAACGCAGGAATCACAGTGCTCCAGCCCCTGGCCACACCACACGAGGACACACCGAGCTCGGGTGGGCCCTGGAGTTGCACCAGGTAATGCCAGGGAAGCCTTCAGGGTAAGAAACACCCATCAGGACTTTTTTCCAGTAGGAATTGCAGAGCTGTCCCCTTGGAACAGCAGATGAGCAAAGATTTGATGGGTTGTGGCTGGGAGGGTGTTTTTCTTTCCCTCGCTGCTTTGCCACTGGTGTTACTGCTCTAACCCATGCTGCTGTACATGGCAGGGAGGAGAAGGTCAGGAACCAAAGCAGCAACATTTGGTCAAAGCTGGCAGTGGACTTACTCTGAACTGAAATTCATATGCCTCTAATGAAGTACGTGTCTGTCAACCTAGTGCTGTTTCACAAGCACTTTCTTACAGGCAGAAACAGCATCTTCCCTATTTAGAGGACTTGCTTCCTGACTGCACACAAACCACATCTGCTGAACTTCGAGACAAGACAAATTTAGTTATATTAATAGTCCTGATGCAGCTGAAAAGCCAACCCAACTGGAAAATACACCTGATCCTTTTTCAGTACAAGTCATTGTCATCAGCTGAATTCACAAGTGTTATTTAAAGGCCCAGTCTGGCTTCAATTTCCCCATCACTGAAGGAAGCATGCAAAAACCAGAACCTGAAAGTCACCCCAAACAGACCCCTACAACGTTAGCTTTATGGTTATGTACAAGCGTCCTAATGTTCGCTTATTCGCTTCCCTCTGCCTTGTGAGCTGCTCTCCCCGGAGTGAGACTGCCAGCCCTGAAGCACAGCAGCACAGGCAGTAAGACAGCTCCACGACCCGTCCAGGCAGACGGGACGAGGCAGACAGCACATACGGGCCCCTGTTAGCACATGCCTGTGTAGCACATTAAGTATCTTTACTGAAAACATTAGAAAATCCTCAGTTGCTGTGGCTTTTAATCACTGTCTGGCTTCTAAACCAGAAGGAACACCCACAGCATGCCAGCACAGTCCAAAATTCAGCAGCACTCTCTGGCAGTCAACCAGCACCAGCCCCTTGGCTCTCAATGCATTAGGGTCATGTTTCTGATCCTTCTTACCTAAATAACAGGCATTTCCTTCTCCTTCCACCATTACTAGTTCCAGCTCTTCGCTTCTCTCCAGCTACAACTGCAGAGGAGCCCTGCTGTGCTGTCAGCCAAACGCTGACCACCTGCTCCCTCTGCTGTTCCTGCTACCATGCTTGCTGCAAAAAGCGTGTTTTTATTTTGTTCTGCCATGCCCAATATGTTTTCCAGTGAAACGTTCCAGACCACGTATTTTGTGAGTATATTATTACTAAAAAAAAACCCCAAATCAAAATGAGTGTTCCTAAAAATCTTTAGCTTACCAAGTGCTCTCCTACTGACTATCATTCCATCCACCAGTGGGATAACCATATTGAATTTCCCAGTTGCTCCTTGTAGCTTTATCCTGAATAAGCCAGTGTTTAAAGGATGGATGAAGATCACAGGAACTTCCTTCTCAGGAATGGTAGATCTTAAGGGAAAAAACAAAACTGTTAAATCAGATTTATAGCACTGTTTCAATTAATCTATACATGAAAAATGACCACTTTAAGTGTTAAAAGAATGTTAAAAGATGTTTTGAGGCTAAACCAGGGGGACTCCTGTGCACATATTCTGGACTTCAGATGGTTCTATCAACTATGCTGTTTCGATGATCTTCTGTCACCACAGAATTTGAGAGTCCTGCAGACAGGGCTTTAAGCCTCATGACATGTATGCTGCATTAACCACCTCACAAGGGAGCACATCAGGAGAGAGGCTAATCCCAGACTCAAGATAAAAACCACACATTTTCTGTTCCTCAATTTATGTTTAAACTGCAGTGATATGAAAAGCTCTTTCATTTTTTCAACAACAACAACAAAAAAATCAACTGATGAAACTCATCTGTCTCTCTCAGCATGACTGCCTAGCATTTTCAGGACTGGCTGTGAAAGTTGAAGAATGCAAATAATCTCAGTCATAACTTTTTCTAAAGTGCAGCCTAAACTGTTGTCTGCAAGAATCAAGAAAAACAATGAAAATAAAGGTAGTCTTACCTTAGGGAAGTGCTACTGTTGGCTGTAGTTTCCACACCAGTGCTAGTCTCAGACACCAGATCAGGGAGGGGGAAGTTTTCTGTAAGAAGAGGATGCACTGAATAAAGTTTATCGAACCCAGTTTGTTGGTTTTTTTTTTCGGTTTGTGTTTGTAAAAAGAAAGATTATTTATGGTCAGTCAAAACCATGCAGTCCTTAAGCATTTAACCATGGATGTTCTTGCACTGCTAGCGATGCAAAGCCTTTGGTTGGTTTTAAGGTTAGGCATTCACAGAGTGTATAGACACACCTCAGCCATCCTGTGCTCAACAGATTAGGTAACACAGGTCCCAGACCCTCAATTCTCTCAATCCCAAAGGTCAAAAATCCCTGGAGGAACAGTGAAAGCAGGAAGGATGCAAAGTACTTCAATCACAAAAAAAAGCTTTCGAATTATTATTCAAGAGCACCTTTACCTATCTACAAGTAATCAGCCTCAAGAATAGTGCTGGGAATTTTAAACACCCCCACTGCTCACATCTATAGCTCCCTTGAGCCCCGCTCCAACAAACATGGTATCATTCCTCAAATCCAAGCTCTGTAGATCCTCACCATGACTGACCACTCTGCTGCCACGCACGTGGTAACAACTGGATAATGAAGGTGCAAGAGGAGGAAGTAAGAACTCGGACCCCTGGAAGGGGATGTGGCACTTCCCACTGCCTTGTTTAGGGGCAGGAACTGGGAGAGATGTTAAGAGTCATTCACAAAAGCACAACTCAGACAGCAGGACAGCTCAGGCAGCAGGACAGTGTCGCCACCTCTTCCAGCAGAAAGAGTGTAAGGCCCAAAAACACCTTTTGCCATGGGGGCTGGGATGCTAACAGCACACAAAAGCTGGAGCTAGCAGAGGGAGAGCCCTGAGGGTCACAGAAGGGCTTTGAGATGCAGCAAGAGGCAGGGCAGGCAGTTGGCACAGAGGCGATAGCCCAGACGATAAAGGGACAGCTTTCCCACCGTCCAGATTCAAAGATGTACCAGAAGCACAGGGCAATAGCCAAGAACATAAGGAGTGTAAGGCAAAGGCTCTGGGCTAGAAGACACTTTCAAGAGCACCCCCTCCCCCACCAAATCCAACTGCCGTGGTTACTGAGGCTCACAAACAAATTCCTTCAGCTTCAGGCCCAGAGCTTTGGGAGATTCCTACAGCTGCTGAAAGCAGTCAAGCAGAAACATGCATGTGTAGCACTGTTGTAGTTGCTGCCTCTGCAGTGAGCTGGCTTCAGCTGCCACCTAAGGAAGAAGTGGGTCAGGGACACCAGTTTAGGAACTGCAGCGGCTGAGGGACTCCTGGAGCCAGGGGAACACCCTCTGTGGCAATGTCTGGATAAGCAAACGATGCTGCATAACTTGATGTCTGCCTCCTGATCCCAGTAAGACTCTGAGGAATGTGCTCTGGTGGTGGTCTTGAGAATTTACATCTAGACTTTACAAGAAGCTTCCTCTTGTTCCCTCTCATTCTCTTGGTTGCTTTCCTCTGGGAGGAGCTAAGGGCTTGATTAAGGTCCACCCTTACTGCCAGACCAGGAACCATGATTAGAAATCAAAAGATAGAACAAAATATTTGTTACTGGCCAGTGTTAGAGGCTCTGCGGGGCTAGGCCAGCACAGAGAGGCTCCAGCACAGCGCTAAAGCCAGGCCACGGCTTAGAACCGGCACACAAGAAGTTCTTGGGAACAAAGGGCTCCTCAAGTCTAGTAGCCAGCTGCCCACCATTGCCCGTGCCACAGCTCTAACAGGATGGGCAAAGCTGGGTCTCTCCCAGGGCAGCCGGTACCCAGAGTCAGAAACACCAAGCTCATGACGAGCAGGGCCCTGGCTGAACAAAGGTGCAGAAAGGCAGTTGGACAGCATAGCACAAAACGGCCCCTGGAGCACAGAATAAATTTACCCTCCTGCAAGACAGAACAGAAAGTTTTAAAGGTCCCATCAAACCAAGAAGGCTGATGATCCCTTCAGCACAGAAGCAGCAGGTGCCAGAAGTCATTTTTTGAAAGGAAGAACAACAGATCCACCCTGAGGAGACAGCAGCTGTGGGGAACTCCAAACCAGGGGTGCACACTTGCCTTGCGTGTTAAGCTTAAGAAGGCGCATGATGGCATTTCACAGGTACCACCGGAGCTAAAATAATCTCCAGGCCTGATTCACGTACACCCCTCGGATCACCACTCAAATATCAAAGAACTGTTTTAGAATCTTAAAAGTGTTAGTTACAGACATGAATAAGAATTTAGCTTTTTATGGAGGAATGGAACAGACTTTTTCCTCTGGTCCCTGCTCTGTTGTTACTTTAGTGAACAACAAAAACTTCTACGCACCTATATCATCGTAACGTTCCACCCAGACCACATACACTTTGGTTTCAGGTCCCATCGGTGGAATAGTCCGGCCCTGAGGCACCCTCTTGGATCTGGAAGTAGGACTGAGCTGTTTTGAACACAAGGGAAGATCAGCATTTGCAAACATCATGAGTGCAGTAATGCATCCAACAAGCATTTCCACAGTTGCTCCTTAGTCTTTCAGATCTCAGACAGGTACAACCTCTGCCAACTACTGAGCCGGGGCAGCTCCAGTGGAACTACCCACTGAGAAACAGTAATCTGGGTCTCCACAATTTTTATATTCAACATAAATGAAGATACTCAATCCTAAAAAACTAGTTCAAGTTTGTCTCAGTGTTCTCAAAGACCTTCAATCAATAACTAAATATACATTTGGAAGTGAATTCTATACAAGAAATAAGCAGTTGTAAATCCTTGGCTGTTACAGTAGTTCACGGTTTTCTGCTTTGCTACCATACAAAAGCAACTTCACACCTGATACTCAGACACAACTGACATATACTATTTTAAACCGGATAGGTATGAAAAGTGTTCATTTCTACCCATTCTAAATTTCCAAGCATGGATTCAAGTCTGAATTACTTTGTAAATACTGCATATACTTCTTCCTGCATGTAGTCAAGATTTCAATATACAGAGTATTACCACTTTGCATGTTTAAGTTTTATATTTAATTAATGTAAACTTGCAAACTCATACTGCATGTACAAATTCTGGCAGGACCAAAGCAGATGTTAAAGATCAACGGCTCCAAATGCTAGGAAACTAAATCATATACTATCGAAAATTGCTGTAGTGTGGCCAGTGAGCTTCTTGGGGGAAGAATGCTATTTTTCAATGCAAGTTTTGCCTTACCCGCTGGGAGGGATTAAGATTGTCTGTATGATTGGGGAAGAGTTCAAGTGTCAGAGGCTGCTGCTTCAATATTCCTGGCAGCAGATCCATGTTGGAGTCACTTTCTTGGTCAGAGACATTGCTTTCCAGTGAATCAGCTGTAAGCCAGAAGAAGAAAGGTGGGTTTTGTCTCTTCTTCTGCCCAAAACCTTAACTTGTCATCACATGTAAGGTTTTTGAAACTAAACACACATAGACTTGCAGCCAAGTGAACAGAGCACCCAAAAGCAGGAATAGGATTCAGCGGTGGACAACTGCCAGCTACTCCAGAAAGAGACTGCAATTAAAGCACTCCCTATGGATTAAGAGGTGTCCCATTCACTTCCTACGGAACACAGTCTCCTCCTCCCTAGGGCTATCATTTCCTCACAGCCCTTCCATTCCAGGAAACTTTCGCACACTGGTTTTAGTGTGCAAGCGATGTGAAAGCTGTTGCTCACCTACATAGCAGTTGTGCACATGCTCCTCCATGTGCTGTAGGAGCATGTCATCAAGATGGGAGAGGGGAAAAGAAAAGCACTGCCAGTTGATAGTGAACCGTATGTCCAACCTAACGCACCCAGGGTAGCAGCAATACTGCCGTGCAAACCTGGACATAGACTGAGGCTTGGACTGAGACAAAGGGGCACAGAACAGGTATCACCTTAGGATGGAGTCTAAGGACTAGGATGTTGCAATTTAAACACCAGTAGCTTTCTGACAAGGATCTTGCTAGACATACTGCTAGTTAACTTACTTAGTTTCTGCTTCTGAAAATGCTCTCTAACAAAAAACATTTGTTTTTTGTGAACAGTATGTACAAAGTGATCTTACTTAGGGACTCCACCGGTGATGGGACAACAAAAGCTATTTCTGTCAGGGCATCCGCATAATACAGCACCTTCTTCTGCCCATTGAAGATACTTGCCCCAACATCTTCTGAAATAATTAGATCATCTGAAATGGATACAAAATGAAAGTTCAGTCAAAAGGAAGCTCTGCCTCTTTATACACTGCCTCAGGAGAAGACCTGCAAATACAAGGTGCAATCAATGAGAAGAAATCATGCCAATCTCATTTTAGAATGAGAAGACCTCACAGTCAAATCTCATGCCTAACAACCATTCTCAGATAAACTGTTTTGTCATCTTGAAGGAAATGGCATTTTGGGTTGGGAAAGGGTTTATTTCAAACACATTTCCATTGTATCGCATACCCTATTTCCCTCAGACTGAGTACTCTGGCAAGCACGTCTGTCACAAGAATTCATCTAGGAGCTATATCTAACCATTCCCTCTAACAAGCATCATTCAGTTAGTCATTAAATTTCCAAAAGATTCTAACATTTGTAACTTCGGTCTGATACTATTGTAGAATTCAAGCCAGTTTCTACACTCTCCTTTGTGTCTTTTCTTCTGCCAAGGAGAGTTAGAAAAAAGCTCTCCTGAATCAAACCAAATGCAAGAAAGTTCCTTGTTCTCAGCCCCCGTTTACTGCTTCATCACAGTTGACCAGTACATCAGGCCTTCACAGCCCAAAGAGAAAATAGTTCTTTGGTGGAGCCTTGCAGTAAGTAAATTACAACACACCCTCCCACCTTTTCCTCCCCCACACCGCCTCCAGGAAGACAAGTAAGGACTTCAAACTGAACTATTTACAGAAGGGTTCCTAGGACAGCTGCCTCAGCAAAACCAACAGAGCAGTGAAACTCAGCATGCTGGACAAAGGTGGCCAGAGACACGCAGGAGCCTCCGAGCCATGCTGCACCAGCAGGGGAGCGCTCCTGCTTCTCTGGTCCATAGCTCTCAGGGAGCAGCACCACAACCTGAACCCAACTGTTGAAGAACTTCTTTGCTTTTGGGGGTGTGCAGGGAAACAAAACCAAAGCATATGCCTGTGAATTTATTTTAATCATGTCTCACTGGAAGCTATTCTAGAATCATAAGACGCTAGAATCATTTAAGTTGGAAAAGACCCTTAAGATCATCAGGTCCAACACTATTCCAGCACTACCAAGCCCACCGCTAAACCATGTCCCTAAGCATCACATCTACACGTCTTTTAAATACTTGCAGGGATGGTGACTCCACCACTTCCCTGGACAGCCTGTTCCAGGGCTTCACAATCCTTTTGGTGAAGAAATTCTTCCTAACGTCCAATCTAAACCTCCCTTGGCGCAACTTGAGGCTGTTTCCTCTTGTCCTGTCACTTGTTACTTAGGAAAAGAGTCCAACCCCACCTCGCTGCAACCTCCTCTCAGGTAGCTGTAGAGAGCCATAAGGCCTCCCCTCAGCCTCCTCTTCTCCAGACTAAACCACCCCAGTTCCCTCAGCCGCTCCTCACCAGACCTGCTCTCCAGACCCTTCACCAGCTTCGTTGCCCTTCTCTGGACACGCTCCAGCCCCTCAGTGTCCTTCTTGCAGGGAGGGGCCCAAAACCACACACAGTATCCAAGACGCGGCCTCACCAGTGCCCAGTGCAGGGGCAGGATCACTTCCCTGCTCCTGCTGGCCACACTACTACTGATACAGGCCAGGATACTAGACTCCTGAATGGGTTTTTGATCAGAGACATCTACAGAGAAAATACATTTAATAAAATAAACAGCTTTAATCACAGCAAAGAGCAGAGGAGAAAACAAAGCAAGCAATCTTCACAACTTGGTCCAAGTCTACTTTAAATCTACCATTTCATTTTTTTAGCCACTGCTTATGCTTTTGCTGTTCCTTCTTCCCCCAATTAGTTGAACTAATGCAACTATTTGGTGGTCTGTGATCTAATCCAAATTGCTGAAAAAAATCCAAGTTAAAAAGCCTACATCAAAACAGGTTACCTCATTAATTCAGGCACTGCCTTCCACAGAGCCATACTGACAAAGCCAGCCACAAAGGGAAGGGAGAGGGCTCTGCCTCCGAGTAAATCACAGTCTGACCCTGTTCTCAAAGGAAAATTAAACCAAGACCTGGCCATTTTGTAAACTCTTCTGACGTGTTCAGAGAAAGCCATGCCCCTGCTCTCTTAACCTTTCCCCCACATTTCAAGCCTTCTATCATTTGCAGTTTTATCCTACAAGTGAATGGAGAAGCCTTTAGTTGGCCAGCGACATTTCTAAGGCACAGTGAAGGGACAGTAGAGCAAGAGCTGCTGCTTAAGCAACTGCAGCAGTAATGGTGTTGCACCTGATGCAAATGCCAGAGCAAAGACATTGAACAAGGGGGACCAGCCTGTTCAATGCCTTTGTGCGGCCCACAGCAGAAGGCTGAGGCTCTGAAGATCACAAAGAAAAGGTCTGGCTCTTGAAGTAGCGACCATGAACCACATTGAAGCCAACCCAGACACTATTGGAATCCCAGGTAATGCGATTAAGTTGTTCAAGGCAGAAACTAACCCAACCTCCAGTTCACTATCCTGGGATAGCAGTTCACCGCCCTGAGGATCATTTTGGCTGACAGAATGGGGAGAGGGTGGTATATGACAAGCCCAGAGGAAGAGCTGCTCTAGTGGAAAAAAAGCAGAGTAAATTAAGCAGGACAGAAGAGCTGCATGTGGGCTCCAACCACCGTGACCTACAAACAGCAGCTTGTTTTCATTACTTCCTACCAAGAACAATTACAAGGGTAACTTACTCATCAGCATCTCATTTTAATCTACTTACAGAACACTAAAAATCGCACAGCATTTCATGTCTATTTGCCAAAACGTGGCACAATCTGTATCCAATTTCACCTGAATACTGGTTTTGGAAAATACGTTAAAGACTCATCGAGTC